TCCCCCTCTTCCCCTCCTCCCTCCTGCCATATTTCAGGATACCAGGGCTTCCTGTCTTTATTTGCAGCTCCCCCTGCCCCCATGTCCCCAATTTTCCTGCTTTTTAACGCAGATCAGGCTTTTTCACAGGGGACCTACCAAAATCACAGTTTCAATGAAAATTGTGAAATCATGAATTTGGTAGGTCCCTATTTATAACGGCTGCAGATCTGCCTCTGGATCTCTGAGAATACTAGTTGGTAGCTCATAATGCAAGGATTAGCAATGAAGTGCAAACGATACATAGTTGCCTGTACAATAAAGCCAAAATCAGTGTGATCCATTGAAATAATGGGGTTGAACAACCACACACTGTGTGGGCAAGGATGTCACTGAATTCAGAAATGAAAAAGTCTAGAAGTGACTTCAAAAATAATCAGACAAGGTGGTCCTGACCCTCCAAGCACTCCTAGTGTCTGAGTCCTTGTGATCTCAACAGAGTAGGGTGGGGAGACACTTGCAGATCTTCAGAGCTCTATTATATTCTACAACAGGACTTCTCAGTGTCCTGCCTCATGCCTATCTCAAATACAGCTACTGCATGGCAAGTATAATTTAATACAATGCCACATAAATAAAATATGATACTATTAGATGCAAAACAATACAGTGAAAGACACCTAGTAAACCCATTAAAAACTCAAGATGAAGGAGGAGGAACAAGGGAAGGGTATGCAATCCAGACAGGGCCATTACAAATATGTAGTCTGGTTTTTCTTGCATGTAAAACCATAGAATTCCCTGCAATCTTCACTAATGCACATCCTCTGGATGCCATTTTGGTATACTCTATACATGTATAGTGCTATTATGTTTTATACTGTGGTTGCAACTGAAGGCCCCAGTTAGGATCAGGGTCCCATTGTACAAATACTAATACTGCACAGAAATAGAGGTAATGTTATCCATTTCTAGTTATGGGATTTCCAAACATACTTGCATTGTCTAACTCAGTTGATAAGAACCAGCTTCAGCTCTCCCACTGAATAGCATCTTTCTCCCTGAAGAATTACAAAGAAATCAGAAGCCTTATCAAGCTCCTGGACATCACAATTTGGTCTTAAGAATTGTATCTTCACGTTGGACTTTTTTTTCTGTTTCTGAAATCTTATGGAAAATACATGGGGCCGAAAACAAGGAACTGTACTCAGAGAAGAAATTCCTGAGGGAATTAAACTGAACTCCGTTTCTGAAACTTGTGGTCTAGAAATGTCTTAATAGCAAAGATTGATGATTTTTGATGGATTTTCTGTCATGAACTTTCATTTAAGAGAAAAGTCATAACTGTGAAAAATGATCTCTCTAGTGTGATGACTTTATCTTTCATGCCTTTGCAAGATCTATCAATTAATTATAAAGATGTGGAATAGGAAGAAAGCCATTTTCCCACAAGTTTGGGATATGGGACAGCAGAATCAGTCAGTCATAATCATGCCTAAAAATGTTTACCAGAAATAGCATGTTCCAGATGGCTACAGTGCCTGAATACTGAGTCTATACAATGTATTAAGGTTTTAATGTTATATGATTATATTAACATCATTTTCTTCATTCCACTCACCTTTGTGAAAATCAAATAATATGATTGCTCTTTTTACCAATTATACTCTTGTCTCCTTAGAATATTTACCTCCTTATCTCCCTTTTTTTGCTTTAGAGAATTTAGTATATAACATTTTTTTGGCTAAAAACTATGGATGCAAGTTAATTTCCTTGCCTACTGGCCTGGGCAACAACTGTGCAAAGATTCCACTTTGCCACTATTGTGATAAATGGAATCACAGCCACTCTTAAAGAAAAAAAAAATCCTACAGAAATCAAATACAAACAGGCTCCCATCCCTTTATTTACCAGGAGCCAGAGCTTTCTTATAACCCTGCACAATGCATTAGAACAGTGATTCTCAACCAGGGTGCTTTGGCATCCAGTGAAACTTGGAGATTTCAAATAGGAGTCCACAGTGTTACTGTGCTCTTCCTGAGTTCCTTGCAACAGAAAATTGCTCTAGTGGAGCGGGTTTTTTGGGGGGGGGTTTTGGTGGGTTTTTTTGGGAGGGGGGGAGGGGGCTTGTAGTAGAAAAATGAATGAATGAAAATGAAGGGCCTTGTTACATGGTAATTTTGGGCAGCTCCTGGAGCTCTTAATGCCTGGATTGTCTGCACATTAACACCTTAAAGTGGCTTAAAGTACTTGTTATACAGCTCAAAATTACCCCACTCCAGGGCAGGATTATCTCTTGACCCACACAACTCAGCTCCTGTTCCATTAAGGTGTGGCCACCCCCCACAGATGTGCCGCTCAAGCTAAAGGTGTGATTGCTCCCAACTCCAAGCTAGCACTGAGCTGATCAACATTTATGTGTAAGGTGTAACAAGGCTCTAAAAGCTGGCATTTTCTGAGGGGTTTCTTGAGTCTAAAAAGGCTAAGAACCACTGAATTAGAGACATCTAGTGGTACAATAATATACTGCAAACAAATATGGTATATTGTGACCAGGGATCCAGGTTTTCTGTTTCCCATGGGAAAATGGAGAAAAATGCAGATTTCCCCCTTTACCCAAGAAAAATGCAGATATCTCGTTTTAACAGAGAAACACACAGCTTTTGCACTTTTTCAAAAAGCTCTCTGCAGGCTGGCAGAGCTCCAGCCTGCAAGGGCTGGGAGAGAGCAGGAGGAGGGCAGTCAGGCAGGAGGTGCCATGTACAGGTGAGGCAGGGGATGCCATGTGCAGGTGTCCCCTGCCTGTCCAGCAG